CCATAGAAACAGAATTGAACTGAAATGTTTCAAGAACTGCTACAATTCCCAGAACTTCCATGTAGAATCAAACTGCTTGGCATCAATCTGCTTGGCTGGGGATTGAAATTCCTCCAAAGCCCTGAGGCCCTAGCCTGATCTTCTTTGGATCCTTGGAGAAAAAGAAGCAACTCCCTTTCCAGGACAAAGATCGTTTGAATGCGGTGATTTGGGACATGTCGATGTTCTGAATCGAAGAACGGGGGCAATGAGTCCCGAGGTTGCGTGGTTGCGCAAGCAACATGATTGAATCACACGGCCAACACAGCATTGCTCTGCTAAGTCAAGGGTTATATAGTGGTATGTACGTTATGTGTCTTTCGCTTGCGCTGATCAGCAAAGCTTGGCAGTCCTTGGCCCCTCTCCGATCGGCTTCAGAGCCTGGGCCAGTGGCGGGTGCAAACTCTCAACAAAAAATGTATGACTCAAAAAAAGAGAATAGAGAGAATATATGAGAATATGAGAAATGTTGGGTGAAAACAATGGGAAACCAGCACTTAATTTGGGAATTCGGCAAAACAATACAAAATGGAGATGTTCACAGGAACAATGTTGGTTGCATCACCAGCCACTTGTCAAAGAGGTGCTGGAACTGAGATGGCATCTTGTTGTTTTTAGAAATGGATTCTGGCCAAATGTCTGCATCTGTCGTCTAAAAAAACAAAATGCATGCAATCTCTTGACCTTCCTCTACACCGGCAATTGAATGCAGGACTGGAGCCTTTGTGCCGTGGTGATTTCCGGTCCAACAAACCTGACTGGCACTAGTTTCACACACAATGCCACTCAGAAGAAGTTGTTTCACAAAGGTGTGATCAGCTGAGTAAGGCTGCGATCCCAATTGCTTCACATTGTCACTACGTGGAGGCAGTGGAGGGAGGTGTTTGAAAGGGTCCGAGGTCTGGCCTCGGAAGAATCACTTTGGTCTTCCGAGTTCAATGCTGGCAACATGACGCACGATGTGGAATGCCATGCAAATCACCGGAAGGAACGATAGGAAACACAGCTGCCTGCGAGCTCGGCAAACTTCTCGTCCTGTGCCTGCCAACTCGGCTATAGAGTTCACCCAAGGGTCCACAAATTGCAACAAAGAAAGAAAAAAGAAATCCAATAACGATGACCTCCAACCCAAGAGCGATGGCTTCCAACCCAAGAGCGATGGCCTCCGACCTAATAGCCATGACCTCCAACCTAATAGCGACGGCCTCCAACCCAAGAGCGATGGCCTCCAACCTAATAGCCATGACCTCCAACCTAATAGCAATGGCCTCCAACCCAAGAGCGATGGCCTCCAACCTAATATATAGCGATGGCCTCCAACCCAAGAGCGATGGCCTCCAACCTGATAGCCATGACCTCCAACCTAATAGTGATGGCCTCCTCCAACCAAATAGCGATGGCCTCCAACCTAATAGCAATGCCCTCCAACCTAAAAGCGACGGCCTCCAACCTAAGAGCGATGGCCTCCAACCTGATGACCTAATAGCGGTGACCTATAGAATACCTGCCAACTCGAGAATGCAGGTCAGCAAACGGTCCACATGGGCAGCTTTTCTATGCTTTTCTTGCTCTTCGATCAATCTCGCTGGGCAGAGATGTCCCACAAGGGGAGGGTCAACGGTAAGAAGCAATCAGCAAATTGAACAACATTGCTTCACAAACAGTGAAGCGGCATAGGGCTGGTCAACTGTTGGATAAGAAGCTCAGAAAGGAGACAAATATTGGGACAACGTTTCGAACAAGAATACTTGGAAGCAGCTACATTAAAGGCCACAAACGCAGGTCATGGCTTGGAGGACGGATTTTGGAGTCTGCTGTGTTGCCGCCACCATTCTGCCGAGCGCGGAGCAACAGCGAATTCTCATCAGGCCTTGGCCGCTGCTGCACGTGCTGCAGACAAGTCCTTCTCAAAAACCTCATAGACCTGCGACGGCGAGTTCAGACTGCGGGATTTTTCTCTGGTTGTTTAAAGCCCGCCCTTTCATAATTAAGTAGTAGGCGTCTACTTCATTATATAAGTAAGGGAGAAGTAAGCTCTCCTAGCTAACTTGGAAGCTCCCAGCTAGGACGCAGGATAGCTCATGCTCGCACTAATTATTTGGTTCCTAGACTTTTGGGGAAACTTAACTTTTGGGCCGACCTAGGGGGTTGTTTATTCAGACTGAGTTGGATTCAAAGTACCTCTGAGTATCTATGCAGTAGTCAGTGATACAACTTACCTGCCTGATTAGTCAATTACAGTAGCAGCTCAAATGCAACTCACAAATGGCCGTGGCCTGCTCCTCACAGGCCTTCCACACAGGCATCAGCACAGGCAAGTACGCTTTCCGCATGATCCTGTCACACAGATCGCCATGTGCTTGACGATGTGCTCGCGGCTCCACACAAGTGTGTCTGTGTGTGTGCGTGTCGATCCTGCTGAATTCAATGCTGGAAGCATTAGAACCGCGGTGAAAACTTCAGGCGACCAACACAATACACCGAAAAAAAAGACTGGCACAACTCGGAAAGAACGGGAGGGCGAGTAGATGGCACCTCGGGACACTTGTTTGGCCCCATTTCAGGGGGGGGTAGATGGCACAATGTTTTTGATGGGTAGTGATTTTGGAGACGGGGCCACCAAAAAGTAGATGGCACAATGTTTTTTACGCTCCCGTGGGGAGTAGGATGGGTGTGCGCTCAGAATTGATGGCACAATGTTTTACCCCCCCAACAGGGTCAGGAAAATAATAGATGGCACAAAGGACACGCTCCCACTGGGAGTGGACATTCGTGCGCTCAGAATTGATGGCGCAAGCCATCCAGCCTTTTGATTTCCTGTGGGTTCCTTTCTGTGTCCATTCATGGCTATGGATTTCCTGTTGGTGCCTA